GGAGGAGGAGGAGGAGGAGGAGGAGGAGGAGCCTTGGCCTCTCCGTGCGACGATGGCAGCCGCCTCCTTGCACGGTGGGGGGCAGTCGGTAAGGAATGGGCCCTGGAGGCTTCCGACCCTGGGGGATTCCTTCTCAGGTGAGGGCGGCGGTGATATCCATGAGTCCTGGCCTTTCCCTGCGACGATGGCGGCCTCCTCCCTGCACGATGGGGGGCCATGCCAAGAGACACCCTGCTTGCCTCCAGGGTGCCCTGGGCTTCTTGGGTTCCGATGGCTCTGCGACGAAAAGCGCGACGGTCCCACACCAAAAAACGATGGACGCCCTGGGGTCCCAGGGTTGGGTTTCTTGTGGAAGGTTTCTTGGGGACTGACCTCCACTGTATCAGGTGTCGATGTCACAGAACGGGGGCCCGGCTTGACGGTGTTGGGAAGGATTGTGAGGGCTTTCCTTCTGGGCATGCGGGACACGCGTGGATGGAGCAGTGCAAGGGCATGCACCCAAATTCTAGACGCTTCGCGGAACCCCACCAGCGACTGCTCAGCGGCACCGCTCTAGCGTGCGAGGCCCCAGGGAAACCCCCTCGGCCCGTCATGCTCGGGCCAACGTTCTTGGTGAGCCCCTTCGCTTTCTGTCGATAGGCCCCGCAGCTCGCGGAAACTGCCTTGAGCACTGCCTGCCACTGCCTTCCCCCGGCCGCCGGCCTGCCACTGCCTTCCTCGCCGCCCCAGCCTTGAGCATGAGGTCGCTGGGACCCCCCCCCCGACCCTGGACGCAGGGCTGCGGGCCTTCCTCTCCTCGCGGCCACCCTGGTCGCCCCTGGGGCTCGCCTGCTTGCCCCTTCCATTTCGGGGTTCCCCTGAGCTCCCCGGCCTGCGGCTCGCCTTGGGTCCGCTGCCTCTGCCCGCACAGGGGTTGACGGACTCCCGGTCCTCCCCCACGTCGCCTCCCCCAGGGTCGGCTGTTGTCCCTGGCGTTGGCTCTCGCCGCCTCCAGCGCAGGGGTGCGGCCTTCTTCCGCTGGTCCCCTGCCTCTGCTGCTCCTGGGCCGCCTTGGCGCTGCCCCCACCCGTGGTGGCGCTTCCGCTGCTTCCACGCCCCTGCTCCGTGCTTTGCGATCCGGAGCCTTCTCCATTGATTTCTCTTCGGTTGCATCACGGCGGTCTTCGAGTACGTGGACTTTTTGCTCTTCGCCATTATGGCGCTGCAGTTCGACCAGTGGCTCTTCCTGGTCCACCGCGTTTCCTGAACCGCAGCGTAGCCCGCTCCTGTGCGCTCTTGTTCGGGATCTAGGCCGTTGCTTGCTAGCCGCGTTTCTGGACGGCGCTTGGCACCCCTGCGCGCTTGCGAACAAGAAAAAGTAACCCCACCAGCCCATCCAGAAACGATGCCCAGAGGAATTGCCTCGACCAGGGAAGTGGGCAGCACACAGAGGAAGGGTCCTTCAGTAGAGGCCTCTTAGAGCGTCGTGGGGGCCTCTTGGCGGTCCCGGACGCCTCTTAAAGCGTCTTGGGTGCCTCGGAGAGTTTCTTGGGGCCTGTTGGGGGTCTCTTGGAAGCCTCTTGGAGGCCTCTTGGGCGCCTGTTGGGGCCTCCTGGGGCCTCTTGGGCGCCTCTTGGGGCCCTCTTGAAGCGCTCTTGGGGGCCTTGGGAACTCTCTTTGGCCATCTTGGAGCCATCTTTGGGCCTCGGATGGCCATCGGAAGCGAAAAGGCGAGAAAGCCAAAAACATTGATACCCCTAAGGTTTTGGAAGGGCTTTGGCCTCTTCGGGGCCTCCTGGGGGTGTTCTCTAGCCACTTGGAGCCGTCTTGGAGCGGGTTGGGGCCTCTTGGAGCATCGTGGGAGCCATCTTGAGGCATCTTGGGATATCTTGGGCCATCTTGGAGGTTAAGCAGCGCCCCCCCCCCCCCCAAGAGGCCAACATGTGGCCAAAACCTCAGTACAATCAATGATTTTGGCATTCTCGCCGGGGGCCTCTTGGAGCGTCATGGGTGCCTCTGAAGGACCTCTTGGGCCTCTTGGGGGTCTTTTGGCAACCTCTTGGGAGCATCCTGGGGGCCTCTTGGGGCTTTCCTGGAGTCTCCTGGCCACCTCTTGGGGCCCTCTCGGGCAGGAGATCGATCAAAGAAGGAGAGTTCCTTAATTTGCGCCCCCCCCACCCCCCAAGAGGCCCAAAGGGGGCCAAAACCATAGTAAAACCAATGACAGTGGCTCCCTCGCCGAGGCCGTTTTTGGACGCTCCGACCGCTCGCGAAACGCCCCTTCCAGGTCCGGGGGAGCGGGTAGGGGGAGGGGTAAACCCTTCCCCGAAGCGGAAGAAGAGGGTGAAAGAGGACACACCCCAAACCACCTGCGCACGAAAGGGCTGGCGGGAGTCCAGGAAACGCCACGTTGTGATCAACGTCGGTGCGACACTGGGGTTGTTTGCCTTTTCGGCCCCCTTGGCTGGAGACCTTGGGGAGCTGACGAGCGGCGCTGCTCCGGCGCTCGCCTAGGCGATGA